CCGTCTCAGCCTCCCAAAGTGCTGGGATTACAGGCTTGAGCCACCGCCCCCGGTCAAAAATCCATTTATTAATAAAACCACACAGCTCTTCAACAGGTAGCATCAAAGAAAGCTCCAAAAGTCTTTGAAGTCTTCACTTCTCTGTGACCACCAATACTAAACTACTGTGACCAACAATCCTAAAACTATTATAACATGATCCTTACCCAACCCTGATTAAGTCCGACATCAAAGGACCTGCCTTAAACCAAACCCCAAAACCTCAATATCTCAACTTTGCCCTCCCACCTCCACTCTACAATGACTCTTTCAAGACGTGCTTCCCCTTAGCATGATAAGCAACAGCCCAGTTTTGTCTTATCAGTTGCTTGCTTTAATGCTATTTCCAGGAGCCAGCATTTGATAAGGGGACCAGGACCAACATGGTCGGCTGTGTCCAATCAGGTAGGATGAAGCACTGGAGTAAATTTCCCTGAAGAGGTGGGCACTGTCTGCCAACAAGAAAGGGGAATGCAGGGAGCTGAGATCGCCCCACGGCACTCCAACCTTGGTGACACAGGGAGACTCTCAAAAAATAATAATAATAAATAAACATTTAAAAAGCAGGGGATGGGGGTGGGGCGGGGGGGCTGGAGAGGCAGGCGTCAGTGTTTGCTAAAGAAACCGAGGCCCAGCAGAGTTAAATGTTTTGCCCAAGGTCAGGCAAAGAGTTGGCAGGAGGTCTAGAGAATACAGGCTTCCTCATCTAAACTCCAGCTTTTCCGCCCAAGCAGGGCATGCCCTGGGGCCAACCCCTCCAGGAAGCCTGGGTAGTCTCCTTCCCTGCATTTCCCCAGGGGCTGCTGCCTCAAGGTGACTCAGAAGGAAGCTGTTGTCTCTAGTTCCTCCTCACCAATCCAGCTGATCTTAGGATCAGGAAAAATCTAAGCTAATTGTCCGGTGGTTAATTAACTCCAGCCAACTAATGATCTCAACTTGCCGCGGATACCCAGCCAGCAGAAAAGCAGTTAACTGCCGGAGGGATGCCCGGAAGACCGGACGAGCCAACTTCCGGCCGCAGAGGCTGCCGGGCAGGGGTTATGGCGGCCGCCAGAGTGAGCCTGCGCGATGTCCGGGGCCACTTGGGGCACTGCGGATGGACAGCGTTGGTAGTCAATACCAGGGACCTAAGTCCGGGCAGGGCGCGGCCCCTCGGCCCCCCAGACCCCTGCCGCCGCGCCTGTGCCGGGCCATGCCCAAAATATCAGGAAAAGCGTGTCAGTCCTCCTTGTGGGAGGAGAAGAGGCCTAGCGGCCGAGCCCGGGCGCCTCCTGTCCCCAACTGCTCATTGGCCTGTGTCTGTCGCCCCCCGGTGGCCGCGTGAGGGACTGGAGCCCGGCTTTCTTCTCCCGTTGGCCTCTTTCCTCTTCCTGGCTTTGCGTGTCCCGACCACTAAAAGCCCCAAACATGACGAAGTAAAATGAGCACCGTCAAAAACCGCATCTGAGGACAGTGCTGGATTCGCTAGAGCGCATGGTTAAATTTTCAGACGTTTTGCAAGCTGGGTGTTAAATACATTTTTTGACGTCTTTGTTAAAAAATAAATTTTATAAGCCTACAATTAAATACATTATATTTTTTTTAAAAAAGGTAGAGGCCTGCGCGGTGGCTCACGCCTGCAATCCTAGCGCTTTGGGAAGCTGAGGCTGGTGGATCACCTGAGGTCAGGAGTTCAAGACCAACCTGGGCAACACGGTGAAACCCCGTCTCTACTAAAAAAATGCAAAAAAATTAGCTGGGCATGGTGGCGGGCGCCTGTAGTCCCAGCTACTTGGGAGGCTGAGGCAGGAGAATGGCGTGAACCGGGAGGCGGAGCCTGCAATGAGCTGAGATCATGCCACTGCACTCCAGCCTGGGCAACAGAGCGAGACTCCGTCTCAACAAAAAACACAAAACAAAAAATGAACATACTATAACTTAAAGAAACAAAACAAAACAAAACGAAACAAAACACCACCAGGCGTGGTGACTCATGCCTGTAATCCCAGCACTTTTGGAGGCCAAGGCGGTGGATCGTCTGGGGTCAGGAGTTCAAGACCAGTCTGAACAACACAGTGAAACCCTGTCTCTACTAAAAATACAAAAATTAGCCAGGCATGGTGGCGGGCGCCTGTAGTCCCAGCTACTCGGGAGGCTGAGGCAGGAGAATGATGTAAACCCGGGAGGCGGAACTTGCAGTGAGCTGAGATCCGGCCACTGCACTCCAACCTGGGCGACAGAGTGAGACTCCGTCTCAAAAAAAAAAAAAAAAAAAAGAATGGACTTGAATATTAATAACTAAGGGCCGCTGGCCAGGTGCGGTGGCTCATGCCTGTCATCTCACTTTGAGAGGCCAATGCAGGCAGATTACATGAAGTTAGGAGTTTGAGACCAGCCTGGGAAATATGGTGAAACCCTGGCTCTACTAAAATTACAAAAATTAGCTAGGTGTAGTGGTGGGCACCTGTAATCCCAGGTACTCAGGAGGCTGAGGCAGGAGAATTGTTTGACCCTGGGAGACAGAGGGTGGAGTGAGCCAAGATCACACCCTGCACTCCAGCCTGAGTGACAGAGCAAGACTGTGTCTCCCAAAATAATAATAATAATAATAATTAAGGGCATTTTTAGAAGTTGGATTATCTTCAATATTTAGTCATTAATTTTCTCTTAAAAATTTGGGAAACATTTTGCCTATTCCTCAAAAAATTAAATGAAGAATTACCATTTGATCCAGCAATTCCACTTCTAGGTATATTCACAAAAGAATTGGAAGCAGT